TTCCCCATCTCTTCTCATTCCTTCCCTCGCCCTTCTGATTTCTCATATTCCCATGCAGTTTTCTTTGGTGTTGCTTCCCTCTCTTGTCCTTTCTCTCTATCTCCCTTTTACCATATATTTTCGGAGTTTTACATTGCTCTCTCTCTCTCTCTCTCTCTCTCTCTCTCTCTCTCTCTCTCTCTCTCTCTCTCATCCTCTCATACAGATTTATAAGGGATGCTTTCATTTCTCTCCATGCCTTTCTATGTCTCGTCTTCAGTAACGTTTCCATCTCTCTCCTTTCTGTGTGTCTCGTCGCCTCTCCTTCGTTTTTATCGGAACTTCTCTTCTCCCTTCCTCAGAATTTCCAAAACACACCCCTCTCCATTTATATTTTTATATGAACTTTCTTTTCGTATTTTCTCCCTGTATCCCGCTTTCCCTTGGCCTGTATCTTCCTCATCTCTCCGTACACCCTTTTTCCAGAGTTGCTTGCCTCTCTCTCCCTCCCTTTCTCTTCATCTCTCTCATCTTCTCATTCTTCTATAGTGTTATTTCCTTCTTCTATTGCTTATCTTCCAGTGCAATCTTCTGTAGTGATATTTTTTCTCAGTTTCCCTTACCTCCTCTCCCTCTGCTTTTTTGCCTGCCTATTTGTCTGTTTGTTAATCTGTATGTCCGACTGTCTGTCTGTGTTTGTGTCTCTTTCTTTATCTTTATCTTTGTCTATGTCTTTGTTTGTGTCTGTATCTGTGCCTGTGTCTGTTTCTGTATCTATCTGTATCTCTCTCTCTCTCTCTCTCTCTCTCTCTCTCTCTCTCTCTCTCTCTCTCTCTCTCTCTCTCTCTCTCTCTCTCTCTCTCTCTCTCTCTCTTTCTCTCTCTCCCTCCCTCCATCCCTCTCTCCTTCCTACCCCCCCCCTCTCTCTCTCTCTCTCTCTCTCTCTCTCTCTCTCTCTCTCTCTCTCTCTCTCTCTCTCTCTCTCTCTCTCACTCACTCTCTCTATCTATCTATCTATCCCCCTTCTCTCTCTCCTTCCCTTTCACCTTCTACCCTCCCTCCCTCTCTTCCCTTCACCTCCCGCTCCTTCTCTTTCCTTCCCACGCCTTCCCTTTTAACGCATTTCCTCCTCTTCTCCCTTTTTTTAGATTCCCCAAGACTCTCCCTCCTCGCTGGCCAGAATCTCGACATGGACGATATCAAAGAAGGTGACGACGTGTACTTCGAGTGTAATATCGTCGCCAACCCGAAGGTCCACAAAGTCCAGTGGTATCATAACGTAAGTAGGAGATTCCTTGGTACCTGGGACGTTGATTTATTTATTTATGCATTAATCTTTTTTCTTTTTTTCTTTTTTGATATTCCTTTATTCTTATTCTACTTATTATGAGGGAATGGGTTACTTTGGCAGGGTAATTGGGTCTATGAAAAATGGTTGTTACCTGTATTAGCTTTGTGTTGAAAAGGGATATCGTAATTTAAGATGGTCCTTCATTTTAATGGGAACAAACAGTGACGACTATGTGACGTATTTGAAATATTTTTCATCACGAAATGAACTCAAAATAAGCAGTATGTAATATGGCAAAAAAATCTATAATGGACGATTAGGATTACAATACACTCGCGATTCTTAGTCTCGGTGTTGTGAGAAATAGTGCCAGATTTCTTTACAAAGAAACGAGAGCAAAGAATCATTTCAATTTGGTATTCTCTTGAGTCTTCATTATCATACTTTCTTTGGTTTTAGTTGCTTATCCATCGAACTCGTGGCAGTAAGAGAGAGAAAGAGAGAGAGAGAGAGAGTGAGAGAGAGAGAGAGAGAGAGAGAGAGAGAGAGAGAGAGAGAGAGAGAGAGAGAGAGAGAGAGAGAGAGAGAGAGAGAAAGAGAGAGAGAGAAAGAGAGAGAGAAAGAGAGAGAGAGAGAGAGAGAGAGAGAGAGAGAGAGAGAGAGAGAGAGAGAGAGAGAGAGAGAGAGAGAGATTGATAGATTAATAGATTGATAGATAGATAGATAGATAGAGAGAGAGAGAGAGAGAGAGAGAGAGAGAGAGAGAGAGAGAGAGAGAGAGAGAAGAAGACCAACAGAACTGGCACGGTCTGTTCCCTGGCGGAGGATGAGGCGCGGAAATCCCTGATACACAATCTTCCTTAAGCCCCAGATTTGAGTAAAAAGCAACTTGGCCTGTCTATCACGTGGGCTCGAGGCCGAGTTCAGGACAACCCATCGTTTTCGAGATTTTTGAACGCATTAGGTCACGCGAAGTTCATATTAGAATAAAGTAAAATTGTAGTTAATATTGCCGAGCAAGCCTTTCTGCTAGATTAACTTGTTTAAAGCTTTGTGCCTTCGGTTACTTTTGGGAGCTTAGCTTCCCAGGTTTAGAATGCTATTGTATTTTCCCGTTGTAAGATTAAACAGTTTCATAGCTAAGCAGTAATGAACCTTTTATTCATCTATTCAGTCACTGATTAATTTTTGAGCGTAAAATCCTACTAGACTCGAAATTTCAACATCCAAATTAGGGGCTAAAGGAAAAAGATATGAATATAAACACAGGAAGAGTTGTTGCAGCATTTTTGCCATGCTGTTACACAAAAGTTCATTCCTCGTTTAACTCACTGCAACAGAAGTGGCCATTGTCAACAATGCAGCGAAACCCTCACTTTAACCACCGCAGCAAACGAGGTCAGTCTCGTGGCCTCCTTCCTCTTTTCAAGCAAGCAGAAAAATGGCGCTGATTTTTCCAAGCAAAGGCTTAGTAATCTCTCCAGGCCATTCGCTTTGATCTTAAATGAGAAAACCGTTGCCGACGCCTTTCCTTTCCCTTCTCTTTCTCACATTTGTTGAAAAGTGATTCGTGGCCATTGCGAGTGACGTTGGCTATTCGTTCGCTAAATAAAAATGCGGACAAGTCTCTTTGATTGGACTTTCATCCTATTAATCACGCTTCTTAGCTTCTGTGCAAATCGCCATGCATTAAAAGGCTTGCAAATGGTCACGAACACATCTCCTAAGTGACAAGAAAACGTTGTGGTGTCTGCAGTTATATCCTTAATGCAATCACAGACTCAGTCGGGGAGAGAATATTTACGTTTCTTTTAGATTAGGAACAAATCACGTCGGATTAGGGATAGTCTTCATCGACCATCTCTCTCGTCCCTGGAAACCGGTGACGAAGGCGTAGCAAACAAGTTCAGTTCTTTCCTTCTTTCCTTCTCTCTTTCATTTTCAGCAGCTAGACTAAATGTATAAAGGATCTGTAGGAAAGCGAGTGTTGGAAAGTATATTAGATATAATCAGATATGGAAAGGACGAACTAGGGGAGGAAAACAGTTAAGTGAACAAGATTAAATATATTCGTGTATATATACTGAATTAATTAGATGTATAAAGAGGCACAAAAACAAACACCAACAAACTTATAGAAATAAGAAAAACAAGCTACAGTACCATATACAAAAACAACAACAACATATATACGGGCATAAACAAATACACGTTAACAAGCTTACAAGCAAAACTAGACCTAAACAACCATTAAGAAAAAATCTTTCATTACCCCTTTTCCACAGGGAGACGAAATCACGCACAATGTGTCAGCTGGTGTGATTCTCAGCAATCAGAGCTTGGTGTTGCAGCAGGTCACGAAAAGGTCATCGGGGCAGTATACATGCAAGGCCGCCAACTTCCACGGCAGCAGCGGGTCAAACGCCGTCCAGCTGAGCGTCAAATGTAAGTTGATCTTGCAACTTCCTAGGAATACATGTGCATCTTGCAGCTTGTTGGTTCTCAGGATGATAGGACAATAACACTAATATTGGATTCTTGGGATAATGTAAAGGATTTGTGAGAGGATGATCTTTTTATTTTGTGATCGCAATATTGATTTTTTTTTTTTTTGATAAATTAAATTAAATCCTTTATGTTTGGTAATATTTATAACAACAAACATTGAAACAGCAGCAATAATAATAAGGATAATAATGGCAATAACAATGATGACTATGATGATGATGATGATGATGATGATGATGATGATGATGATGATGATAATGATAATAATGATGATAATGATGCTGCTGATGATGGTATTAATAATAATAATGATAATAATAGTATTGATAATAATAATAATAATAATAATAATAATAATAATAATGATAATACAAATTATAATAATAATAATAATAGTAATAATAATAATAATAATAATAATAATGATAATAATAATAGTAATAATGATAATATAATAATGATAATAATAATAATGATAATTACAATAGTATTGTAGTAATAATAATAGTAATGGTGGTAATGATAATAATAATAATAATAATAATAATAATAATAATAATGATAATAATAATAGTAATGGTGGTAATGATAATAATAATAATAATAATAATAATAATAATAATAATGATAATAATAATAAAAATAATAATATTAATAATATTATTAATAATAATAATAATAATGATAATAATAATAATGATAATTATTATTATTATAATAATGGTGATAATAATGATGATAATGATAATGATAATAATAATGATAATAATAATGATAATGATAATAATAATAATAATAATAATAATAATAATAATAATAACAATAATGATAATAATGATAATAATAATAATAATAGTAATAGTAATAATAATGAAAAAAAAATAATAATAATAATAGCAATATTAATAATAATAATGATAATAATAATGATGATGATGATGATGATGATAATAATAATAACAATAATGATAATAATGATGATGATAATAGTAATAATAATAATAATAATAATAATAATAATAACATTAATAATGATAATGATAATAATATTAATAGCAGTAGTAATAATAATGATGATAATAATAATAATAATTGTTATTATAATAATAATAAAAATAATAATAATAATGATAGTAATAATAATAATAATAATAATAACAAGGATATGATAACAATCTGGATAATAATAACAACAATAATAATTGTAATAGTAATAATAATA